AGCCTTGACCTTATTGATATGAGCCATGAAATCTTCACCTTCTTCCATCTTACAAGTGAAGAACTTCTTCCTTGTGAAGATGATATTGGACAAGTTCTTGCTCTGATTTATATTGCAAAGAATCTTTCATGCTTCTGCTGGACTTTTGTAAGAGATGATGTGAGAAAAATTGACTTCATCCAAATTAGTGGTAATTATGCCAAAATCCTTCTTTTCACATCTATGGAATTCTTTTTACTTCTTAGCATGTGCATGTATGTTTGGAGCCTCTTCACTTTCATCTACAATGTTGAAAAGGTCCAATGATGCCAACAAAAGCTTCACTTTGACCTTCCAATGATAAAAATTCTCTCCTCTAAACTTCTTAATTATTATCAAATCTTTATTCTCACTAGAAGCCATATCTAAGAAGGGATCTATTCAAATATATCAAGAAAAAGAGTGACTATGAGCTTGAAATCACCAAAATAATTTTATATTAGTATAATCTTAGAATCCCTTCTTATGAATAAATGAATGCTTTCTCACTCAAATCATTCTCAACTCAAGCTCTAAAGCTTCTAAGAAGTATATGTACTCTAATAAACCTCACTATCATGAACTCTCACTCTTTGAAATCAACTATTTTACTATACACTTAAGATGAATGAAAGAACAATAAAATAAAAGATACTATCAAGGTCTTTCTATAACATCTTAAATTCTCAATCATGGAAGATAAAAACTCACAAAGCAATATTAGAGATCTATAAGGTCAAAGTTAGCACGTCTTCATGCCCAAAATATAAGTTTAAATCTTAGAAATCTTAACATCAACAAATACCATAAGATCTATTCCACACAAGTACAACCACAAGAAAATGATATTAACTTACTTAAATGGCACAACAAAGTATGAGTGGGCCCATAACCTATTGAAGAAATACAATAAGCAAGACATAAGTAAGTAGAAATCAGCAAGGTTGCATATAAGAGAAGTGTGGAATGAGATATCTTTTATTTCCAACATCTTGTACTTGTAGGTGAAATTTATATTTATTATGGTTGAACTTCATCTTCATCCATCTTTGCTTCATCCAATAAAATCCTATATTCCACTTAATTTAGCTACTACTTAAAATCCTAATTGCTACTTAAAATCCTACCCCTATTTAAATCCTAGCTGCTACCTTAGTTTTTTTCTTTCATCTTTTTCCTATCCTTTGACCATTAGTATTTTATTTAAGGTAATACTTACTTACTTTATTATATCTATGATAATACTTATTTATATTAATAAATTCTATAAGATTAATTTTATGTATAACATCTCTAGAAGACAATGAATGTCTATCTATTACTTCTATATGCACATGTTTGATTTTCTTAACTAAGGATATATCTTATTTTTTGATAAAGTCTTCATCTATAAAAGAAACCGAGGCTCTTGAATCCAACAAGGCTAACATTTTGTGATTTTTTAGTCCTAAACAAACTTCTATTATAAAACAAGATAAGGGATTTAAATAGAGAATATGACTTTTACTAGATATTGCACATAATTCCAGCCACATGATCCCTATTGTAGTTGGAGTAACTCATTTTTTCACACATTGTCTTCTTTGGAAATCATGCTTCTCATTTTGTAATTGTATTGTTTCTTTGGATAATATTAAATGATATGTTTATCTTTTCTAAAATATAAGGATAATCCCTCTTGGCATCATTGAGTCTTTTCTTGCTCTGTGAGGAGTTTAAAACATATCATATCAATTTATATTACTTTTGGCCTTAATGAATAGGTTTCTAAAAATTTAAGAGTTGCCATCATTATTTGATTTGTTCTTTTCTAGCCAAATCTTTATTTTTGATGTCTTTCAAATAATCAATTGTCACATATAATGGCTTGAGTACTGAATTTTTTCTAAGATTTTATCTTTGATATTATCAGTAATAAGTCTTTTATATTGTCCTTTAATCCATATCAAAATTAATTGATAAGGACTTTGTCATTTCAGTCCAAGTTGTAAGCAAGGTTTTGGAATTGAACAGCATATATGATGGCTGATCGTGATCCTTGGCATGAAGATAAGAGCTTGATCTTTCCTATTTTTTTTCAATCACTTGTTTTGAATGTGGCCGTAAATACTTCTAAAAATGAATCAAATTATAAAAGAGTTATAATTCTTTTACTATTAAAGGTACAAATCAAAGGAGAGCACTTCTTGATAGAAGTATACCTATGAATCCGACTTGAATAAATCCATGAAGTTATGGAAAGGATGCAACATGAGATAGAAGTTGACTTATTGCAAAAACCCTCAAAATTTTGATCTTATTCTATCAAAATTCTCAGGCATACTAATCCTTGTCCTTGTTATACTTGTAGAAGCAAAATCCCCTAGATTTGGCTGTGATGTCGATCTACTTGCTTCCTTCAACTGTACAACTTCTTGTCACAAACTCTAAACTTTTTTTATATGTATAGGCATAATACTCCCATAATTAATGTTAGAAATATGTGAGATTTCTATTCTTAGAGTATTGACAAGCTCATAAAGATCTACAATAGTTGCAAATATATTCTCACGCCTCCAAGAGTAGCATCCATAATCTTTTCTTCCATAGACATCTCAAAGAAATTCAAAAGGTTAAATTAAAAGAGGGTAATCCGCAACCTCTAATAAAAAAATTCATGAAGAAGGATGATTCATTCTCATTAAGAAAAAAAATAATGTTAAAAAATAAAAATATATATATATTTAAAGGTGGATAGTTCATAACCTTTGAAACACAACAATAGAAGTAGAGTAATCCACTCACTTCTAAAACAAGACAAAAACAATAAGTTAGTACTCTTGTCAAATTTTCAAGGACATGAATCTCAAGGAAAAAAAACTTTAATACACTCATGTATCATTATAAGGAACTAAAAAGTCACTCAAAGATGATATAATATTGAACTAGAATAGTTATTGTAAAAAACAAGAAGATTAACAAGTTTTGAAATAAGACTAAGGACTAGAAAGACATTGACAAGAGTGAAGAAGGCTTTACTCTTGCCTCCATATATACTCTCTAAGTAAGAACTATGTAGCGATATTTTATAAGACCTCCAACATGTGTTGACTTTGCTAGCCACATGTCAGAACTTTCAAGGCAAGTTATCTATGTATACACTACATAGTTAGCTTGTTTCACAAGCTATCAACATTTGATTAACTTATTGGCTAAGTTTTTAACCTATAAATACATCTAAAGTCAAAACCATGTTTATATATCTTCTAAGAAGCTTCTTTAGAAGACTTTATGAAATTAATCTATATTTACCTACTTCTACTTAATCATATAAGTAACTATTGGAATAAATATATATGTCAATAACAATATCTCATAATATTTTTAAATGAGAATTTATTTAGAAAAAAATAACTATTTTTAAACTTTATATTATTATTTCATTAAAAACCAATGACAACAACGATGTACTTCTATCTTATGCCATTTTTAAAAATTCTCATTACTTAAAGGAATAATAATTTTTTAAAACTAATTTATAATATAAATTAGACTAGTTTGATATATTTTTAAAATTGCAAGATTTAAATTTTTATTGAATTTAATCACACTATTTTCAATCTTATTTTAATTTATGCCAAAAATATATTACTTCATAAAATCTTTTGTTGTTGTTATTATTATTATTATTATTATTATTATTTATCTTGCAAAATTTCTATATTCAAATTCTATATTATTTAATTAATTATATATTATATTAATAATTATTAAATTAACTTTATTTTTAATTTTTAAAATATATATACATATATATTTTTAAATAAAAAATAATTATTATTATAAATTTTTTATTTTACTTTACATGAATAATAAAATAAAAAGATACTTCAAATTTTGTAATATTTTTGCTTAATTATATTACCTTCTTTGGTTATAAAACATTATTATATCCCACAATAGATTATTCTACTTTCAAGTCAATCCAATAGACTAATCCAATTCCTATTACAATCCACACTTGTACCTAAATACATATTAGATTAATATTTTAATATCCTTATATCAAGCCCCCAAAGTTCTACCATTATCATTTTTTTCTAGTAATGAAAGACTAACACACTTCTTAAAGCTCTTGAGATCAGCTCTTGAGATCATTGGCAACACGCCTCTTCCACTTCTTGGAGCTCTTGAGATCATTAGCAACACGCCTCTTCCATTACTCGAAGCTGCCCTCTTTCTCTTGGGGAACTTTTCACGGATTGGAGACTAATCTCTGAATTGAACCAAGTTGCGAGAAATTTGGTGTTCTGCGTACTAGTAGCCGTCACACTCACCTCGACCCTTCAACCCATATGGGACATGTCCGCCACCACCCTATTTCGATTTGTCCGACCCTCTCATCTTCACCATCTACTCCACGAAATTCTCCGTTGCTTCATCCTTCTGCTTGCTTCCACTTCTGTAGAGATGCTGTTTGTTATGCTCCAAATTCAGGCAACGTCAACCTCGCTCTTTTGCTTGATACTTCCATTGTCAATGTAAATCATTCAATCTGTATAATGGCAGAGCCCGCTGCTCTCCTTTTTTTTTCGTGCAGATGTTTAATAGATAATCGCATCCGTACGCATGGAAACCCTGTTACTTCACATCCTATATTTGTTCACGGTCCGAGGCATCATTCTTGCAACCAGCATTCTTATCAACAAAGAAGCAGAGAACTTGGGAATGAGTAAATTATTGCAGGTTAGAGAACAAGAAGAAGTTCCTCTGGGCCTTTAGGAATGAGAACGAATTTGGAAGAGATTGTTCTAATCGAAGCGCAGGATGACAAGAATGAAATCTGAAAGGCGATTGTAGAAGAGGAGACGTAGAATGATGCGGGAATCAACCTCGACCAAGGACAGGGAAGAGTCGGGAGACAACAACAGGGAACAGTGAACAGCAACCTCACAGGAACAATGCACGCATCATGTGAGGCTTGATTTGCATGCCACAAAGACTGGCTGGAAACATACGGAAATGTTATAATATTATTATTTGCTGCAACACCAGGATGCAACATCAGGTAAAAGAGATACACCAATATGAAGAACTAAATAAAAAAATAAAAACTTCTCAAACAGACTCAGATTTGTATAACTCGAAGTAAAATATAAATAAAAATAAATAACAAAGAAGAAAGAAGAGCAGGAGTAGTTGTATCCAGATCGTCGCTCTTTGAATGAATATTTGCAGAAGCTTAGCAGACAGTCTACCCGAGTGAATTGTAGCATGCACTTGTGAATTAGTTACAGGCATGGTCACTGGTAGTGGTTCATGACTACTTCTAAACACCTACACAATCTGATAAGGTTCTAGAATATAATAACAAAATTTACGAGAAAAAGTCCAGCGTGTAGTCGCAGGTGGTCGCTTGCACTACTTGATTGTAATCGCAGGCGGTCAGCTTTCATATGTGCAGAACACATGCAAAGCAATTGTATTGTTTTCTTCGCGCTCTTTCATCGAACGATGAAAACACCCATTTCCTCGACCTTCCGAGCGACAAGCACTTTGGTTGGAAGTCGAGATATTCATCGTCGTCCCATTTCTTAGATGCCGTAGGTGCTGGTAGGGATTTCGATGATATTGAACTTGACAACCTTTTGTACAACGGCTTTACCAGCAATAGCCTTGATCCAACCTGCACAGAATGCCCTCCACCATCAAAAACAACTTCACTGAAAGTCCATTGTACTAACTTCTCACGCTGGTACAGTCTTCCGGGAAATGGGGCTCATATTGCGCACTACGAAGTAATCGAAGACAATTTCACACGATGTTTTGGATAAGTGAAAATCGAACATAGAGAGGTTGGGTGTGAAAGTTAAGCAGATCGACTCACATGGCCCATGAAGCTGGTCAGTATTGCAACTCTTCTAGCTGAATTTGAGGTGAAATGTTTCTTCGAATACCAATCCAGCTCCATACGGAGATTGTCTTTTTACAAAAACTACGAACTACTCCACGACTGCTGTTGATTAGGGCTACTTGCCGAAACGTCTCTTACGATCTTGCCCCGCTGCTGCGCATCGAATACTACATGAAACCCCTAACACTTTCAGCACTCGCTGGCCAAAGCTTGGACTCCGTCGAAGCACCTGCACTGCTGCGTCCTTGTGGTCGGACCCGGCGCAAATCCACTTACAAGTAGACGAGCTCGCACATCCAACTTGAGAGAAACCAGTGATGTCCAGTAAAAAAAAGTCGCTTTACCAACATTCCCAAGGTCGGTCGATACGCTTCACTTGACTGCAACCAACCACGAGTTCTCCAACCCTTCGAGAGGAGTTCGATACGACACGGAGTTATTCAGAGATTCAAGCTCCATCCGCTGAGCTGCACAGATCGGAGACTCTCCATACTATCCTGACCTCCCGGTGAACAGGATACCACAACCCAGTTAACGCCGACATAGGCGCGCAACACGAAGCTAATTCTTCAAACCACGAGATCGCAGACAGTAGACACAATTTCGTAGGTTGTAAGCCGAATTGAACACTTCGTGTATCGTTCTAGAGTGCTATGGCATCGTAGTGTTCGAACTCCCTAATAGAGATAATCCTCCCTACCATCTTTCCGGCCACGCATCGAAAAAACGTCATGCGTCTACCGGCTTCCGGTGTAACTCGAAGCGCCGGGTGCTTTATTCTCAACTATTCCCAGGAGCTTAACTTAGAGGTCTAGACCACGGAACCTTTGCTTGGGAGAGCATCACCTGATGACGGATTGAATGTGACGCAGCCATCTCAGTTCACATCCATGTATCCGCACACGCATTCATTCCCCCCATTAATCTCCACAAAATCTTTCAGAGCGCTCCTCCATTCTTGCACTCATGATGCATGTGCAGGTTCTGATACCTAGTTCTAAAACCTACCGCATCATAAAAGCAAGCCCATCTGCGGGATATCAAACCAATGGAAATCACACACTATTGCATCATATGATATCGTTGCTTAGAGAATAAGAAAAGGAGAAAATGAGCCTCTGTCAGCATGTGCGAAAATACTTCACCATTACCTCAAGTGGGTTCTAAGTTCATATCTCTAAAATTTATTTATTCCGCTTTACTTATGTAAGTTTTTCGTTGTTTTGTCGGGCTGTGTTCAATTACTTCTTCATGACGGCTTCGCTGTGCATCCATTTCTGCCAAAGGTTTCAAAAAAGTATAAAAAAATAAATGTGGTGATTACTATTAGCAAATTTTGAGGTTTGTCTGAACCCACCATGCATGAGGTCATGAATAAAACAGAATGTAGTTCCAGGCTGTGAGTGTAAATATATGTAACACACAATCGAGGCACTTTAAGCTGATTCAAAGATGGAATTGAAAACTCTGGAAGGGGTGGGGGGATTGAATGAGCACATCCGACCTGCCACAGCCCCCGTTTGAAAGAAAAAAGGTAACATAAATAAATAAATAAATACTGGACTAACTTTAATGACATGGAGTTGCGAGCTCACGAACAAATGGTCGCACCAAAAGATCTAAGTAAAGGTACTCGGATTCCACTCGACACAATCTCGCACGGCTCAGGATTCTGGGGCACGTCCGTAATCGGAGCTCTTTCCATCAATGACCCTGATGCACTGGCAGGTCGACACTACGGCATTCTTGGTGTTTGCCACAAGCCCCCACCCTCCCAGTTTAGAAACCCACCTGCTCCTGTGATCACCGAAGCAAGGCTCCGTGTCCACATCTCCGCAGTCGCCATCTTCGCAACGCACACCATACTTAGCAAATGGCATCCTCTTATCCAGATAATCTGGAAGAAGGCAACAAAATCATTTAAAAAAAGCGCATCTGACAACGTGGCTAAATCCCCGGAACCGGCGTTTTTGCACCATGACACGCTTGCGACGATTTGCATGCAAATGCAGGCTCCCCTCCGAGCTTGACGATGGGTTGCTGAGGTTTGAGTGTGGTTTCCTTCCTTTCCCAATCAGTTTCGACTCTGTGTTCCAGTGGTCCTTCTGGAAACCAGTTTCCCTGGAAACATTGTTGCTGTTGCTGTGTTACGATCGCTGCATCGACAAAACAGTGCAGCCACTGCATGTGCAGATTGCAAAAAGCAGAAGAAGCAGCAGAAGAATATAGTCCAAGTCTCCTGGTGACCGGCATCAGCATTTCTCTCGTGCGGCGTCGGAGGAGTGTCTCCTCCAGGAATCGTTCCCAATACCTCTTAATTTAGAAATGGTCATATTTCGGGAGTTTTTTTTTGTCTGTATATGATCATCCTAATAGTAGCGATTGGCGACTCCGTCCCTCAAGATGATTAGAATTGACTTTATTATTATTTTTAATGTGTTGGTGTAACTTACGTCTGCATTTATTTAATGCGAGAACACTTACTTGATGATAGGTTTGATTGTGTTTTGAGACATTGGAATTGAAGACGTTAGAATAATAAAAACAATATAATTGTCAGTCCGTTGAATTTGAGGATAAAAGTTACATTTTGAAGGTTGAGTTCATTGGTGGAATTTCGCCCCCTGTCTAGCTTCAACAGAAACAGTTTCAAACAATGTGTGTGTGTACGAGAATGTGTGCGTTTTTAAAAAATATACATATTTCTAGTACATGTTTAAAAAAGTAAGGGTATACTGTAGCTAATATGAGTCAATTACATGTAAAACATGGTGTCCTTTAAATACATAGATGATATTTTTTTAAATTACAATTATTTTTTAGGTGGTTGTAGTTTTTATGCGTGGCTTGTGAACGTGAAAATTGTTATGCACAATTCGTTTTGATTTCATATTCTTAATAATTGTGACAATTTGCAGATACAATACATCCCCTACAGTCTTTTAAAAGAGACCAACAAGCATTGTGTTGAAGTGACTAAACTAATGATAAAGAACAAGAAGACGTTATAAGATAAAACGGATAACTTGATAGTTTGCAAATGAAAGAAAAAAAGTAGTGTAATTTGTTTAGCTAAGTTGAAGGCACAAGTGGTAGTACAAGAGTATTGACAACATATTAGTAAGTAAACTTGTCTAAAAACACCAAAGAAAGATAGCTCTTTCTACGTGCCCTTCTTCCAAAGGACTTCAAACTTATTAATGTTTTGTTTTTGCAAAGAGATCACATCTCATTACTTTATTCATATTTGTACATGGCCCCCAATTGCACACTTAATTTCTCCCTTTGTTTTGTTTTGTTTTTTTTTTAACTCTTGTTCTTCTCTCTTTGACACTAGAGGACGGAATTAAATCACTTGAAATACTATCAATGGAAAGATTTGCATATTAGTCACTTGTATAAATTCAAGTGTGATTAAAAGAGACAAATATGACCCATGTACTAAACTACTAACATATTATACAACATAAGGCAATAGTTTTAGTTCTAAGAAGGTTTAAATGAATTATAAAAATGAAAATAAAAAGATAATGATATGATAAAGTTTATATTTGTAAATAGAAATATAAAATATAATAGAATTAATATTATGTAATAAATATTATATTTAAAGAATTGGGATTAGAATTATCTATTATTAAATCTATTTTATAAATTATATTAATTAATAAATAATTATTATATTTTTTATATTAAATATTTAAATATTATATTATATATATAAAATACTTTTGAGATATTTTATAATCATAAAGATTATTAGAATGTATTTTTATATATTATGCATTACAAATTTAAGAATGTATATTTCATAATAGTATAAAGTAAAATATCCAATAAGAGTTAAAAAAGTTAAAAAATGTATTTTCAAAACCTTTAAATAATCACCAATGTAAAATATTAGCACATGTAATAGTTAATGCATACAATTTGGAAGAGATTTAAGAAATATATAAGAATAACATATTTAGTTAAAAAATATTAATGTAAAAAATATGAATATAAGAAAATAAAAAAATTATACAAATAAAATTAAAAACCTACCAATAAAACTATAAATTTAATTAAATACAATAAAATAAGTCAATATTTATTATTTAATATTCAATTTTCTTTATGTTTGTGAGGTGTTGTTTGAGTTATTTTTTACACAATTTTAATAAATCTTTACTTTAATTCATACAAATGCTTAAATTATTAATCCTACCTTCAAAAAAAATATTCAATCAGATATAATTAATAATATTTTAAACTCTTAATATTACAATAACCTCTTTTTAAAATGGAATTAAAAATAGATCTCTACCTTCAGATGGTTATACTATTTTTTCTATGACATTCATTATTCTTTTTGTAGAGAATTAATTATACATTTCTCTTATAAGCTGTTTTAATATTCTCTCAGTATTGACATCTTCTTTTAGTATTATTCTATGCTTTAAAAAATAAAACTTTCACTACAAGTAGAAAATCAATATTAAAATATATATATATAAATATATATATATAGTGTTTTATGAAAATTTTATTAAATTTAATGTTTAAAAGAACAACAAGAACCATTTAATAAAACAGTAATAATAATATATGAAGGTTTAAAATTTATAAATGTTTTAGACTTTAGTTTCTTTAACTTATTTATCAAAATTGGTTCTAAAAAGTCATTGCTACTTTTTATAAAGACATCTTTTATTTATTTATTGTGTTGAATGCAAATATATATATATATATATATATATATACACATACATACACACATATAGAGTTTTAGTTATTTTTGAAGAAGTTTAACTATTAGATATCTTAAATAAGGTTTATTAGTATTGTTAATGTAAACACTTGATAATGGGGAAAAATTATAAAGTATTGGATTTTTGAACACTTGTATATTACAAAAGATCTTTTAGTTATATCTTGTATTATAAATATTGTAGACATAGATCTATCATTATAAATGTATGCATTCAATGGTAGATAAAACTATAAACTAATCCTTATAACATTTTTTTTTTTTTTTTTAATCTGGATTTATTTATTTATTTATTTTTTGTGTAGAGACATTTGATGTCAATGTTTTTTATTTCTTAATTTTAGCATAAATATAAAAAAATATCTACTTTGTCAACATATGAGTATGAATTGAAAATTATTACAATTTTTGTAACATATTTATTTCTCTTAAACTACATTTGATATATATATATATATATGATCTTTTCTTAGTGTTTTATTTACTAGAAAATTGTCACTAGTTACTTAAGTATTTTTTTCTTACATATATATATATATAAATATATATATATATATATTGTAATAGTTCAAATTATAAGTGTGTTATTGTACCACTCATTAAAACATATTTTAACTAAATTGTTTACGAAGTTGTTTGCTCCAAGCATTAAGATTAATGGAAATGTATAAATACTACTAATTTTTAAGATTATCATTTTTTGCCACAAAATATGACTACTAATGGTATTTGAGTCATCTTATTTGGCATTACTATTATAAAAAAAAAAAAAAAATTGGAAACTTATATTTACTAAATTCCAATAATTAATACATAATAAAGTATTTTTATGCACATGGAATCAAATATCTTCTGTTTAAAATTTGTAGAGCCCAACATGCTTAAGAAGTTGTAGCTTTCATGTTAAGTACTAATTTTAATTTGCCCAATTCATTTTTATAACTAAACGGAGTGATAAAATATGTCAATATATTAAGAATTTCTTAACTTCTTAATGGTTTAAGCAAAATTTAAGATTCTTATTTCTTCTTTTTGTCCAAGGTAATAAAATTAACATTTTTTTTAAAAAACTTAATACAATCCTACCATATTATACATTGTGCTAAATGTTAAGTTGTTAAGCGTTTGTAAGTGTTAAAGAATAAAATGGTAATTTCCATGTACATTGAAATCAAAGAAATTAATATTTTTTTATTAATTACTTGTATAAATAGCCATTATTAGATTTTATATTTGACAAAAGTCGTGGTTTGATGGGCATTACCCACCTTGCAAGCCAAAATCTTTAGTCTGATTGGAATGGACATGTATTCGAAATTCTCACATATGTCTCATTCTCTTAGTGCAAAATAAATCCTCCGAGATAGAATAAGATGCTTACGTCTTTCCACTGATCATTTGAAGGCATACGTTTTTGAGTCTTAACAGGATGGAAATTGATTTCTGCTCGTCAACGGTAACAAAAGCTTGTAAGAATTCAAGGGTCATGCAGTAATGAATGAGGAGAAAGGCGATGAATTTTAAGATGATGTTAAGCAGTTGGTAAAAAAATCATTTAATAACATCCACTTAAAGAAACCTTTCCAAAATCAGAGTATATTTCAAAACAATGAGATTGGAACTTCTTTATTGGAATAAATCTAAATACTAAGGAATGAGCAAGAAAGCAGTTAATATAACATACGGCATCAAACAGCAAAAAGAAGCTGATGCTCTGGAGCTACTATCACAACACTAATGTAGCAATCCGAAATTCTAGGTATATCTATCTGCTAAGTTTACGACGTAATTGAATATCCTCTCTCGAAATTTAATTTTGGTCAAAACTTGCTGTCCTTGGTCCAGCCAAAAGAACATGCAAAAATTCTTAACAGTGGTCACTGGACCTTTCAACCCTAGCTAAAAGATACACATATTAAACCTTGATGTGATAGTAATCTGAGTCGAAGAAATGCACCCGCACATATCCATCTTCACCACCGCTTGAGAAACTGCATATTCATGGAGAAGAGCTACCAAATTAGTGAAGAGAGTCTACTATTTGTTTCAAAAGAAATTATATCTTATTTAAGCTCTAGCCATGCAACCATGCAGAACTCGTAGAACTTTCATTGCACAAGGTTGCAGAGAGAACAATCTCAACATTATTTTACCCATCATTTCATAATAGTTTGATCAATTATTTCATAAAAGTAAGAGAGGGATATTGGGAAACATCTATCCAAACTTATACATATGTCCAAAAACTACTTATCCCAACACATGCGCAGAAAATAAAATCCAAAACGAACCTCCTTCCGTCAGGATTAAAAACTAGAGCATTAATAGGTCCAAAATGGCCCTTCACACCACCAATTTCCTCTTCGAAAATCTGGCACGTCAATCACGAGACGGTAAATAAGGATTCTCTTTCTATGCTTTATGAGTTGCAGTCTGTGATGAATATCTCGGATAAATGGTAAAAAGGCATTCTCTGCAGTCAATGGTGTCTTTACAAAGCGCCAACTTGTATATTATGCACATTGACGAATTTCATTCATCGAGACCGCAACAATAAGAGTAGAAAAATTGACCGTACCAGGGTTAACAGACACTTCACCATAACCAAAAAAACATAAACTACGACACTGGGGGCGACGAACTGACCTTGTGGAAAAACTTTGCTTCAAACTTTCCAGCTCGAGTGCTTGTCATTGTCACTTGAGAAGCCTCTTGACCACCACCAATGACGACCTGCGGCACAACCAAAGCCATGTTGAACTCAGCATCCCTGTTATCTTATTCAGCAATCACCAGTATCAGTTGGAATCAGCTTGTCTAGTTCAATCCCACAGGATAGACGTTACAAGACTTCTCCAATTCCGCCTAAAGAGAGCGGACACATTGGATATTATGGGAATAGGTAGACTATACATGATCGAGCAGGGGTGAAATAGCAGCAGCATTCACAGGTCGCTCTGTGGTGTACGTCTTCAACATTTGCAAGGTTCGAATATCCCACAACTTCGCTGATTTGTCGTGAGATCCAGTGATAAAGTGTGAGCCATCAGCTGACTTCGCCATCGCTGTAATAACCTTCTGGTGGCCTGTTTCAGGATCGCTTTCTTTCAATAGCTTGCCTGTCTGCAAGTGAACGAAGAAACGAATTGAATTGCAACCAACACATTGTCACATTGCAATCAGATGAATCGTTTTAGATTTTTGAAGTCTGCAAAATTGAGATTCAGGTACCCTATCCTTGAAGTCAACACAGAGGAAATACATGAATGAAGCTTGAGTCGTCTGTTGACATTTATACAACCCAAAGAACGTAGAACTTTCGCTCCGATAGTTAAAAAAAAGAAAACTGGCACAACATATCAAAACATCACGTAACCTGTAAATAAACTACTTGATTGAAAATTGAAAAGTGCTGTCAGGATCCAATTGTTAAGACAAACCTCAGCATCCCAGATACGGATAGTAGCGTCCTCGCCAGCACTGATAATGGTCTTGTTTAATGGTCCCCACATGGCTCTATTGATCCTGCCTTGTGGCCCTGTGATCGTGAGCACATCTTCACTGGATTCTGCATTCATCATCCAGACCTCAAATTTCAGAAATGAACGAATACACTGCTGCGTTCTTGTCTCAAACGATCTTAGAAGTGTAAACAAGTTCTAGTTCCGAAGTTGCAAAAAGAAAGGCCTGAGATTAGCCTTGACGTGTCCTAGAGTTGATAGAGACAAGGAGGAGTTTAGGGTAGTGTTACAAAAAGTATCAGGTAGACATCTCCATGGAATCAAAAACTACTTGACGGTTCAAGCTTAAAAAATGCACGTTCATTACGATGTCTACAATTGGCTCCAACTAACTGAACCGTGCTTCACTTCGGTTTTTTGATCAGGGCATGAAACCCTAACAAAAATCTCGCTTGTGAACCAGACACTCAAAAAGTCGGGTGACAATCATTGTAGAGATACGATGTCTCGGAATTTCCCAGTGATGCTGTAATTGGAACTCCAAAGATTTAAGGTTTTTGAAGGAAAAAGCTAATATATGATTCTAAAGGTTTGTGCACCGCGATGAGGTGAAGGATAACGAAAGCACTTACGTAAAGATCGGTCTGACTCTATCCGCTTGACATGAATAGCAGATTGCTGTTCCATGAACGGATCAGTAGTAATCACCACCATCTTGTCGCCTTCAGCGAAGCTAACAGCCCTCGCGGGAGCATCGAAGTTGAAAGAGTGCAGTTGGACACCAGTCTCGCAGTCCCATAGCTTCACAGTCTGATCAGCCGAACTGGTCACCAAGCGAGTCGAATCCCCTGAACAACATGGTCATATGACATGGAGGCGAATCAAAACCCAGACTCAAAACTAAACCATCTTTTCAATACACCGTGGCTTGAGAATCGCCAAACGGTCGAACCCAAGACCTACCTAGTTCTCGCGAACTACGCTAGCAAGTTCACGACCGAACAACACCAGCTAGGTCAAGAAAACCTACTCGAAACATCACAGCACCATACAGCTCCGTTGTGGCCCTTGTACGTGCCCAAACGCTCGCCGTTACTCGCATACCACACTGTAGGCGTATGATCTTTGGCACAGGAGAAAAGCAAGTCTCCGTCTCTGTTGTACTTCAAAAACGTAAGGGGCCTCTCGTGACCCTTCAACAAAATCGGCCTCATTCTGCTTAGTTTCCCTCCACCTCTTGCCACAAAAAAAAAAAAAAAAAAAAAAAAAAAACACTCCGACTACTACTAAAATTCGCTGCACTCGCGCACTGTCAAGCTCCTCAGCTCAAGCTCGACGAAACAAAGATGTGAAATTGCAAAAACCTTAGGATTTCTTGCTGGAGAACACTATTAGCCACGTTTGCCCTAAAAAAAAGGAAGAATCTAGACCTACATTCTTTCTAGCGTTCAATCGGAAGTCCAGAGATTGCTTAGAAACTGTGCAATTTTTTGGGCACTGTGCCCGCAAGTACTGCATCGGCTGAGGAACAGGTTGGTCATGCACAAGATGGCGACAATCTCTTTGGCTCCCATTCCTGAAGATCGTGGGTTTTTTTTTCAGTGTTCGTTCAGAGGAACTTGACTTTTTGTGTTGGTTGAGCTTTCGAGTCCACCATCAGTCAATTACTGTGACGGTGGCACTAGAGGCATTACCTGTAAACTTGCATATATAGTACCCTTCACGAGAATTCTTCTCACTGGTTAGTTGCAAGATTCACGCCGCTGAGTCAATGTTGGCAAAATTTTGTGCACGAGATGGTGGTTGGTTCCTGAAAGCCGCTTTCGAGGGCGATCCTTGTAAATTGTGGTAAGTTCCTTGTCGCACTATCGAAGTCTGAGCATGGAAGCATGTAGTGACAATCAAAGCTACAATCAAGCACTGATCATCTAGAGCTTTTCAGCAACTGAGCACACTGATTGCGAAGCTGTACATGCGTTTGAAGGTGGACTTTGTGATCCACCTTTACACGACCTTGAGGGCATTACCTCCGACGTGAAGACTTTTGTTGCCACGAACTGTTTGGGTACTGTTAGCGTTACCATCTTCCATGATCCGAGTAGCGGATAGATCAGCATTTACGCTTCAGGCTCACCGCACTGAAGTTAAGCCACAAATCGTTTAAATGAGAACAGACATCACACATGACAAAGTGCAACCACGGCGAGCCCGATTGTGTCGGTTACTCCTTTCTAGGTAAAGGATGAGATTGCCAGCGAAATATTGATTATTCGCTGGTTTCCAATTGGATTGTTGAACATCAATCGAGACATACTCTTCACTATCGGTGCACATCTGTAGTTTCCCGTGATTCTCGAGGCAACCTTTGAGCTTCTGGTAACCGACGCGGTGTGTTTTCTGAAACCTCATGATATTCCTAATTCTATGTAGCTGTACTCTCGGTGATTACTGCAAATCCAGTCCTACACCATCCATATGTCAGTATCAAAAAAAGGAGTTAAATAATCGTTTGAAGGAAATAATGATGTACGGGATCTCTTGTAAAAAGTTTAAAATCAGTGCTCTCCACGCCTTCCACACCTTCAGCTAACGTGCCACCCTCGGTATTTTACCTCCATTGACTATATTAACAATCAGTCACAATCTACCTACAGCAATCCTTGCGTGAAGAATTTCCCACACAAGTAAGAATACTTGTGGACTAATGACAATGAGCTCTGGCCAGTTGATCTCTACAAACCCCTCTAAGAGAAAAACACTGTTGCAATCCTGGAGACATTTGTTCCGGCAAGCAATGAGGACGATTCTCTGTGAGCATTGTACAGAAAAGAAAAGGAGAATCGTCAGCTACGGTGAGGTATGGGGCACTGTAAACATGGCAGGTATTTGAGATAATATTTTAGTATTTACAACGTCGAAAAGGAGGTTGCACACTGGCAGCGGCTCCTTGTGTGGGTCCAACAGCAGAGGATGGCCGGTGTCAGCGCCGCTCTGCTTCGTTCCACTGAATACTCGCGTGCTCCCTCCGAGATTTGCTGCTTCACCCTGCGTCTTCAATTTCTGCCTTTTGCCCCTTGTGTGTGGTCCAACCCACTCGAGATCTCAAATTGCGGAATTCTTGTTTCATTATCATCTGGTGTCTCTGACTTCGAATATGGCATTGCTCTTGGCTGGACATGAGATTATACAAGACTATTAGCATTTGTTGTGTTTCGCTCGTTCTTCTTGCCCAAATCATAAACCTAATTTCTGTCGCCCTGCTGAGCTCCGGTGTAAGTCGGAGCGCAGTCCTTCCGTGAAAATCTCCCACTGTGCACTTTTTCTTTGATTGTGGTTCATCTTCGTCACTTGTGCTCTTCTTTTCTACCCCCTTTGTATATTGGGATGGCACGGAGAGAGCCTGTTCCCAAGGCTATTGCACCTTGCTTTCCTCACCTTTGTTACGACTGCACAAGGCCAAGTATTCAACCGTGAATGCAATGATAAGATGTTCGCCGGAGAAGTCATGGGTGCAGCATTCATGCAAAGTTCTGTCTATCCGGATAGCTGCGGAAGCGACAGGATATGGAGAATGTGGACACAAAGACCCATGTTCCCAGCACAGTTGTGCACATTATTGATTTAGTACAGGTGAGCACATGTCCCTCGGCTCATTTTGTCAAATTCCTCCATTGTATGTAGGCAACTTCTCGTTGTATGAGAGACGATGGTTTCGGAAGCAGATGCTCGATAGTCACAGGAAATTGCAAGAAGTTGTTCCAGTCGGGGCTTGAATCAACGAAATGTGAAGCACTGAAATTTGGTGGCAGTGACCAGCGATGGCGTCAGATACCAACCAGAACCTAGTAACAGAAGTTATAGTCGAGCTCAAGAAAGTGATACAAGAAGCTCGCGAGGCGCCTGTGGAGAAAGAGAGCTTTTGGCGTTTTATTTCGTACCTTGAACAGCTTCGTCCTATTCTTGATCAGTTGAATACTGGAAACGCGCCTGAATTGCCTCTCCGCGTGCAAACTGTATTGAATGGCATCAAGGGAGAGTTGGTGAATTTTCAGAGTCCTCTGCAGATATGCAAAAGTAAGAGCCGACTCTACTTGCTTACAAATTGTCAGGAAGTGGTGAGAGAAATTCAGAAAACCACGCATGGTATTGGGCGATGCCTGGCTCGCCTTCCGTCAGTGCAATCTTCTCCAAGGCGGGATTCCCGAATGTGGGATGTGGGAAAGAAGGCGGATGATCTCGCTCGCGAAATGCAACAAGCGCTATTCATGGTACAGTCTCCTTCCTCTAGATACATTCGACGAAGCGCCTTGTTTCTTTGGTCAATCCAGGAGGTGATTTTGTGCTGCGTTCATGGATCAGGTTTCTGCAAGTGAGGAGCGCATATGCCTAGCGCTGGAAAGAGAAGCCTCGCAATCAGCACGGCACGAGGATGCAGATTCAGGAGTTCAGAATGCGATCCTTCTCGACATTGGTCGTGAATTGGGGCTCGAACTTGACAGAAATAGAGGTGCCTTGTTTGAGCAACTCCAGCTACTGCGAAGGGAGCTTGCTGATTGCCGGGACCGGGGACAGATAAAATTGCTTGAAACAATTGAGAGTATGTTCCAGTCGTGGACTCTGGAGCCGGCTGTACCGCATTGGCACACAATTGTGGAGGCTGGAGAAGATGACACCATTGCACCATTTGACACTTTCCTGTGTCCCTTATCCAAAAAGGTGAGATATACAAGTCTCGTGCACCTCCGATGCACGATCTTTTCCGGTTTGCTCCTTCTCAGCTTTTTCGAAGTATTTCGTAGAACGTAGAACCTCCGGTTATTGCAATTGTCTGATTTGGATTCAAAATCATTATTATTTGTTGTTTTAGTGACTGAAAATGCAGTTGTAAAATCTCCCGATGACGCATGTGTAGGTGATGAAGGATCCGGTGTTCCTGCAATCGGAGCGAACTTATGAGCGCAGCGCTATAGAGAATTGGTTTAACTTTTGTCGTCAGCAAGGACGACCGTCCACATGCCCTGTCTCTGGACAAGTACTGACATCCACCGAACTTCGACCTAGCCTGGTGCTTCGCCATACCATTCAGGAATGGGAACAGCGCAATGTTGCTATTCGAATTCGCCTAGCAACCTCTCGCTTAGGCCCAACCGCATCGGTAGGTTTTCCCTCCATTCAAGTATCTGAATACACGTTTCTTCACATTTAGTAATAATGATGTAGGTACTAAACGCATTAAACAATTCTCATGAACCTGTTTTTAACAGGGTGAAGAAGCTGAGCAGGCGCTTGAGGATATTATTCTCGTTGCCGACGACAGCGTTGAAAATCGGCGCAAGCTCTACGAAGGACTACTTTCTGCAGTGCTAGGTCTATGGCAGCGGAATGTAAAGTCACGCGCTCATCTCCGAAGCCGAGCCATTGCTGCTCTCCGTGGCATGGTCGTCGACTCTCAGGAAAATAAGGTGAAAAGCTTATCTCAGAACTCCCATTGGTTTTGTTTAATAAGTTCTCTCTGTTTGAGCTGGAATTACATCCAAACTTGGTTTTCGTATCGACAGGATGCAGTAGTAGACATGGGAGCGTTGAAGCTTGCCGTGCAAAGTCTAAACAGCGGGGTGGAAAAAGAGAGGGAGTGTGCAGTCGGTCTTCTTTACGAATTGTCAACCTATCCTTCCATGAGTTTACGGATCGGATCAGAGAAGGGTGCCATCGTTGGTCTGATGGGGGTAACGTCGGCTCACAACGGCAATGCAGAAATTAGTAATCTTGCCGAACACACACTTCTGAATCTGGAAAACGTGGACGCCAATGCCTTGCAGATGGCAGAGGCAGGCCGCTTGAAACCTGTTCTCGCCCGCCTATGCCAAGGCTCTGAGGAAACTCAAGTGAAGCTCGCTAAGCACTTGAGCCAAATGATCCTCACGAACACAAGTAAAGAAGTTGTGGCGGAGACCGGCGGTAAAGCTCTGGTGCGAATGTTGTCAATCAGTCCGAATGCCAGGGAAGCCGCTTTGGGTGTCCTTTACAACTTGTCCACACTAGAAGACACTGCACATGTATTAATCAAGGCTGGAGTTATTGCCCATCTGGTGTTCACAATATTCTCGTTACCGGCGCCGGAAAACTTGAAGGAAATGGCGATAAGCACTCTTGCAAATCTGGTCGTGGTACCCGGCAGCTGGGAGACCTCGAAAGTGGACAAAGAGGGCCATCTCTTATATTCAGAGAAAGTCCTGCATAAAATCTTCGGGCTTCTACAGAACGGGAGCTCGCTATGGAAGGAGAAGATCCTGCAAACATTGTATGGCATAGCTTGTTCCACTGAAGTTACAGGTTTGTAGCGGGTCTCACTCGCCGGTATCTTTTTAAGCTGGCAAACACTCTGAACTACGTGTTGCACCCGGTCCACTGACGATTTTCTCCGTGTTCCAGATGCTGTGGCAGCAAATATATGCAGCTGCGGCGGCACGATCACACTCGTGAACTTCATGTTGCATTCCGACTCAAACACTCGTTTGAATGCCTTACGTTTGCTCAGCCTCCTCAGTGTGCGCATCGGAGATGACATTGCTGCAGCCCTACGCTCTACACTCCAGCTGAAGTTTCTAAAGGAGGTCCTTCAACTACAGGGGAAGGCTGTTTTGGAAGAACGCGTTGCGGCTGCAACGATTCTCGCAAACATCCCACTTACTGAATTCGAGGTGAGCGCATTTAAAATTCACAATAATTGGTGACACTTTTATGGTCAAATTGCAATGGTAGTGTGGAGGTAATCGGAGGGAAGAATATTATGATCTTTTGAGCATTCGTCATTGTTAGTGTTTGTGACTTCGAGGACACTGGTGGGCACGCAAGCTATCAGCGGCAGAAGTGTTATGCGTTTCTGAAGCGTTATTATGCAGGTGATACGAGTGCTGGAGATTGATATGCTCCAGTGGACTGTCAATACCCTTCAAGACTGCAAGTCAGGGCGCATTGGTCGACTGTCAGGGCGTGCAGGATGCGCAATGCAGGAAGCATTGCTGGGCATCTTACTCCACTTCGCTAGAAACTCGAACGTGGCCATTCTCAACAGCATGCGAGAGCTCTATCTTTTCACCCTCTTTCAGGAGAAGCTGATGACGCATTGGACGCCACTAACCAAGGAAAGATCAGCTGTAGGCCTCCAACTCCTATCAGAACGCGCTTATCTCTTCACACTTCGAAATCCACTGCAGGCTCCTTCCAACCGAGGCGCCTTCTTCGGTTTGTGCCTGTTTCCATCAAAAACCATCCGTGACCTGCCGGAAAAATGCGATGTGCACGGGGGAGTATGCGATCCCAACGGAACATTCTGCCTCGTCGCTGCCTGTGCTATCTCACCTCTGATTGAACTCCTCGAAGAGGAAGACGACTACGGTGTACAAGAAGCTGCGGTAAACGCACTCTCCACCCTCCTCATGGACGGCGTCGACATTAAGGGAGGCGTTGAGCAGCTCGCCCACGCCGAAGGCGTCCAACCGATCTTTGATCTATTTTATAACGTCCGGCAAGGCCGCCTTCAAGAAAAAGCTGTTTGGATGATCGATCGTATCCTGCGAGTCGAAGAATACACACAATTGTACAGTTCCGACCAAGGCCTCGTCAAAGCTCTCATGGAAGCTCGTCGTCACGGCAGCCCGAACACCCGTGCCCTCGCCCAAGACGCCCTCGCCCGCCTCTCCAAAACCTCCTCCAGCCACCCTCCTGCGTCTTCCTTCCGCAAAATGGCCAGCATGCAACGCCGAGACTCCTTGTGACATGACCTAAAAACACGCATACAAACAAAGCAAAGCAATACCAGGCCCTTTACTGCTGACGTTTCTCAACTTCTGCACCACTGTCTTCTCCTACTCAACAGCCGAAATTGTATCATGCCAACAAATGCAATAAGCGAATCCTGTACAACAGTGGTGAGCTTCGAAGAATCGTAGAACACGTTTCCATAGAACAGCAACCATCGTAGGAGCCAAGCCAAGTCCGAGCTGAGACAGGTTTAAGCGTGCCCTAAAACCCTAAAACCTGGTCGCGTGCCACAATAACTTAGCTCCATGTTTCATTACTATAGACGACCTTTTAAAATCTCAGATTGAGACCAATTCTTAGCGTAGCGTTGTTGTCCCCGAAACCCTAATTCTGGAGTTCTCTCAAGTGGGGATAGAGGTTTTGTATTTGGTTGATTGAGTTGCTTTTATGAGCATCACTTTGTTGTAACTAGGGCTGCTTTGTGGCTTCACACACACACACACACACACTGTTAGATTAGTTATGTGTACAGTTTGAAAGTGTGCAAATTAGCAGACCTACTCTGTTGTGAGATTTATTTGATTTGAGGAAAAAAAAAAAAAAAAAAAAAAAAAAATTGTGTTTTCACTCATTCCACTTTCTAACGCAGTTTTAGTTGATGTGGTGTCTCATGGGTAAGGAGACATGCAATTATCCATCTATTCTAATGTTTACATGTTTACATATTCATTTATTGGTATCAATTATAGCACATGTGTGTTTTTTTTTAAAAATTTGTATGGTCATCTGTTTCTAGTTTTCAGTTTTGGATGACGTTTACATGTGACTCAAAGATTATGGCTATCTAGTTGAACTCACATTGAATTAAAGTTATTAAATTTTTTCGCAAATATATATTTGTATATACGTATTAAAAAATGTTTCTTCATTGTTTGAATTACACTTGTTTTTTAATTATGTTTTTTCATGTATGTTTTTTAAACACGTGTTTTTATTATTTTAGAATACATGAATCAATACTTGATAATTTTTGAAAATACAAACTGAAGATATTGTTTAGATTATATGGAATTGAGAAAACCAATCAACAATGCAACTATAAATTAGATTACTGATAAATTGTCAGATACAATGATTTAAAATTTGAATATTGACTTTTGACATTCTGAAAAAATTTCCATTTGAAAACAACTTTTGGTCCACTTTATATTGTAACATTTATCCTTTGACATTGATTATATCTTTAAGCATTGTATTATTTTTTATTTTACTTTTTTTTTTTTTTTTTTTTTTTTTTTTATAATTTGTTTGTAAAAGAAGAAGCAAAAGTTACTTCATTTCTTGGTTTAGGTTTTGGAAGTATCTCCACCTTCTTTGCTAAACTTAAGAATCACTTAAATTTAATATTTTGTATCTTCTTAGTGAAATCTTTTAGTAATCAATACAAATAAAACAAATGAAAGCAAGTAATCAAACCAATGTTATAAATTAATTGGACAATATTTAAACTACAACTAAAAGGTATTATTAACAATATACATATCAAAGAGAAAATGAAAACATTAGTAAATAAGATTATGGTGCTACCATATAAATAGTCAACATGAATTTGTTTGAAAAACACTGAGAATGTAAAAGAATTATATAATTATTTTAGGGCATAAGAAATAATGGCGATCTTAATATCTATTTAATAGAAATAGATGTTAGTAGAATTCTTACCATAGCATTAAAGTTGTGTATATTTTAGTAAATAAATAAAATCTCAGCATATATCAAACGTGTAGAATAAGATGTTGTCTAATCTTGTGCATGTGTAAATTAAATATTTATTTAAAGTAAAGGATATTGAAAGCAACCACAATTGAAATATAAGCCTTATAATACATTGAAGTAAATTCCAAAATATTCTGAAATTGTATAAAGTAAAACTAAGAGTTATCATGTATTTATGACATGTGTAGCATGTAAGTTGGTGTATGCAAGTTGTGACACGATGTCTCAAAAACTTAAAAAATATATTTTAAGTTAGACAAGTGTTAATACTACCTATGGGTGCTTGAAACCAATTTCTACTTTAGATTTATAATTTTGCATTATAATAGCAACTTAGTAAAATAATGGAGTTTGATTTTTTTTATTAAATATAAATTATTTGAAAGAAATTAGTTTTAGAATTTGTACATATCAAAAAAATCAGAGTTTAATGATAATAAGAATACTATATATCTGAATTCAACCAAATTACATAGAGCTTACTATACCAATATAAAAGTAAAATATAATAATACTTAAATTTTTGCTATCTTATAGATATGAATATAACATATACAAGGATCTAAAGATAGTTGATTAAGGCATTGAATTTATTTCATAGAAGTGACTATTGTGTAGTATTATGAAGAAATATTTTAAAAATAACCCACAAGATGACCATCCAAAAGTAATGATTTGAACTTAGAGAACTTGTTTGAAAATAAAAAATAAAAAATTTAGAAATCATAAATAAGGACACCTTTCATTGCATGTAGGTCTCTCTATGCATACAAGAGCACCCACTTTAACATTGTCTCTGCTTCACATCCCTTGGGACAGATTCTATATTTTGAATCTATAGACCAGCACCTTGCCTTTGCCAAGTGGTGCATGTGTATCTGTAGATGTTCTTTTGTTGTTGTTTTATTCAAGGAACCATTGCACCTAGTTTCATAACATACAAGACTAATCAATTTTACTTAGAGGTGTTACTCCATGTCATTGCTTGTAGGAATTAGGGTGCAATACTCTTTGCAATTGTGCAATTAGGAAGTGGGTGTGTTTGCTGTCGTCACACATTCCATAATGGATGAACCAATAGTACATTTGGGGAGATATGTTGCATCCCAATGTGGGTCCTGGTCCCCTCCTCTCTCTTGCCTTGATGCAAGTGATGGTCCACCTCATTGTCAAGGAAGAGAGGGATGAGGGGATCAAAACCTACACCCCCACATGGACAAATAAGAAGGGGAGGAGGCGAGGACTTGCACAGAGGCAAGAGAGAGAAGGAAGAGACAAGACTCATGCCAAGACAATGAAGAGAGGCAGGACAAGGAAGAGAAGGAGGGAGGTTGAGACCCACTTCGGGCAAGGAAAAAGAGATCTGGATGAGTCAATCAGAAGCCTTAAATAGACATAAAGGGTGTGCATTTTGCAACTTGCGGTGTGCTTGAAGCTTGAGCCATTGGAAATGCCGTTAAAGTGAATGAAATGAAGTAACTTTTTCTTTTTTTTCCTTTTCCAAAAGCGTGAGGAACGCAAGCAAACCCTCAACCAAGAAATGAAGTAACTTTTTTATTTTTTTTTCCTTTTCCAGAAGCGTGAAGAACGCAAGCAAACCCTAAACCAAGAGCCGCTTGTCGCGATAGACAGACTGACGGCGAAGCGGAAATGTCTATGGCAAGCGACGAATGAGCGGGCGTTGCGAGGAAATGGGAGGCCGCCGAATGTCCGTGGTGAATGACCGACCTAAGCAGGAAGGAGTTGGGATTGTTGAGTTGCCCCCCCCAACCCCCCCAGCAGTTGTCAGATGCGAGAACCGATCGTGAGTCCTTTCCCGATCGATCTCCGTCAGGCAGGCGGGTAGGGTATGAATTGGCTGGATCTGTGCGAGGGAGGGAGAGAGGGACTAGGGGCGATAGATTTGCATGGTCAGAGTTTAGTGTTTGGGAGGTGAGAGAGAATTTGGGCCTCGATTTCACGACCCTCCTCGCTCTGGTACGGAATTCTGAGCTTCGGCTCCGTTGGATTCGGTTCCATCTCCATGAAGTCCGGGTCCCGTTGGCGGCTCTGCTGTTTGGTCCCCCTGTTCCTTCGCTCTGCCCCGTAGTGTGGTCTTGTGAGGGATGTGCTCGCGTCGCGCTGACCCGCTCTGAGGCGGCCACCAGCCTTCCCACCGCACCAACTAATTGTTGTCTCCCACTTTTGAGTTCCCACGTCTATCTTCGTGTTTCTTGATTGCGGAGAGAGAAGCTATTGCTGAGATTCGGAGTGTTTCGATTGATCAATCGGTGTTTTGGAGCAGAGGATGCTGCTGGAGCTTTTCTCCACATTTCGTTTACAGGTCGGTGTTTATTCCTTGCCTCTTTTTTAATTTTTTATGTTATATGATATATCTTTTTAGTTCAGGACGGTTGTCGCAATTGGTGGTCTTTGTTTTCTTTTATCTCACTTCACAGAGCTGCCGATGAGGCGTTGGGAGTGGAAATGAAGAGATGGTGTGAGTAGCTAGGTTTATTTTAGAACCCTTTTGTGGATCTCCTAGGTATGATAGTTTTAGAGAAGTAATTCTAAAGCATTTCTGTCGTGGGTCGTGGCATTACGTGGGTTTTTGTCATTGAGCGAATTTCGTTTTAGGGTTCGTGTGGAAAGTGATGGAGACTCACGGTGATTGTATCTCAAGAGTATCTTTGTCCCCCGATCGGTCTTCTTAATATTGGGGTTACTTCGGTTTTAGAATCGTGAAATGTAGGTGTATAGATACGCAGGTAGTGTAGTTCACGTTTTCTTTCTTTCGTTTTTTTGGCTTTTTGCCTTTCGGCTTTGTGAGAAATAAAATCGTCAGTATTTTTTCGCTCATTATTACCATGGAATTTACAAGACTATTTTCTTCATCTTCTGAATGATCCATGAGTATCGTAAGATTTTGTTGAGAGATACTACAGTGTAGTTCAGTGTCATAATATTTCTACTGCAATGATTAGGTTTTGTGTTGCAGTTCATTTTTAATTTGATTACCTAAGATGGTTTATGACGACACAGCTGAATCTAGCTCAAAACTTCATTTTCCTTGTCAACTTACTCCCCGATCCTCATAATATTCATCAGCGTGCGTCTGCGTATGCAGGGACCATTTTTGCGTCTGTTACTCGGGTTTTAGATTTGCAGGTTGAAGAAAATCTATTTGATCAACTTGAGTGCCGCAATAGTGTAACGACCAATTGTTTTATCTTGTGAGTTTCTCAGTCCTACAACAAGTTTGGCTAACTTTCTCTGAATTTTCAATGCATGCAGCATGATTTGAAGTTTCCCACCTTCACATAGTCCTCTTATTTACTTCAATTCACCGGACTGGCATCCTCACAGTACTCTTCATTCAATTTGCCTCCGCTGTGTTCAGGACTGTGGTTTACGGCAATATGGTCAGGGGGTATAAGCAAGAGCATACGTATCGGCATCCTTGGGAGCGTGTTTCGATAGCTAACTTTAGAAAGTTCGCAGATTTGGAACACAGGTCGTTACTTTCACACGTTGCGGACGTCCGTATTGTGAACAGAACCGTCGACCCGAAAATTGGACAAATTTTCACTACTCGATCAATCACCATAAATGCTCCTGGTCCCTGGTGGCTCCAGCGTCTCATGGGAACAAACGTGTGCCTCTGTCTAGAGGAGTCCATCATCGATAATGGTAAACCGTTGTTGCCTATGCTTATACACTAAACCATTTGAACAGCATTTAGTGTGTGAAGGTAATCAGGGTGGACCAATTTAGGTGCCGATGGTGAACTAGGGACTGTCTCAAGTGTCATTTAATCATTGAGGATTAATTTACAAGTCCTCATGAATTTAGGGATATAGTAGCATGCAGTGAATTTGCACATTCATTTATTTATTTTTCCTTTACATTTTCTTCCTAATGTAGCATTTTTGGCAGTTGTAAGTACTGATAATGTTATCGATTTCTGTCCTGCAGACAAGCGATCTTTAGAAATAGTAACTCGTAATGTGACCTTAAAAGATTTTGTTGATGTGGAGGAGAAATGTTCTTACAATCCTCACCCCGAAAATGAAGACTGGACCTTGTTGCGGCAAGAGACGAGCATAACGTGCCAGACGTCCATGCCAGCCTTGAAGTCTATGGCAGAGAAGATTGAGCAGAAGTGTGTGGAGAAATTTCAACACAACAGTGCACGTGGTAGGGAGGTCGTGGAGGCTGTATGCAAAGCCCTTGAAAGGGCTGAATCAGGAGCTGTCACAAAAGCCGAGCCACATTTGGTCGTGAATCCTCAGCAGAACAGCAAAACACGTAGTCACGGCATCAAGTGGAGAATCTTTGAAGCAGCTTCTCTGGTGGGCGCCACCTTGTAAAATTGGCTCCCCTCGGTGCAACCTTGACACATCCTTTTTTAATTACGTACATTTTTACTTGTCACGTTAGACACACAGTTTCAACTACTAGAACACCAACAGAAACCCTATCTCCCAGATGCTGTTGTTTTGCATATTACACAGTATGAGCCAGTTTCACAATACAAACGTGCAGAGATTGCTCGTCAAGTTTATTCTTCCATATATTTGGTGAGTTTCATTTTGGACGTTGGTGTACCTGTACCAGAGTGTTGATAGCAAGTAGAATGGGGATGTGGTGGGAGTGTCCAATGGTTTCTGCAAACTGTTTGGATTGTCTTCTCTACCACTTTCTGAGAATTATTTTTGTTTTATTTTTGTGTAATTGGTTTTGTAGATGTGCTTGCATTTTTATTCTGGATTGCCACACTCTGAGAAGCCAAATAATCAGCACGATCATGGAAATAAACAGAGAAAGTGATTGGATTGAAACGAAGTAAAAATAATTATATCTATCTTCATGTTCATGTAGTAGATAGATGTAATTTTTTTATGTATTATATTCTCAGAGGAGCTATTTTTATACTAGCTCCTTTGTTAAGGCCAATTATTAATTCTTTACAATACAAACTTTAAAGTCCAAATATTTGACTTGAGACCAATATATTATGGTGGTGTGGGAAGCTCTACAAGTTCTTGTATTTGTTATTAAGAGTACTTAGTTTCATATATCCAGCACCTTTGAAAGATAACAAAAGCTGGAGAAATTCATTAAATAATTCTAAAAATGAAGTGTGAAGGCAGCCAGTTTGGTTGTTGATATGGGATGCTATGAATCCACATGGAGCTCCACTACACATTGTAGCTTGAAGTTATGGCCACTTGGCAATGACCCCATTAATACTGCAAAAACACATACTTTACTAAAATAACTAAGTAAAAGTAGAGGATATTACTTTAGGTAAGTTGTTTATGATCAAAGTGTCTTTAGATCAAAAGGTCATAAAAGTTATTCTAGGATATTCTAAGATATATTAAGATATGTTTAAATATGCTAAGATATACTAGGATCTTAATGAATATGCTTGGATCAATGAGATCAAATAGGATCTTAGGAGAATAAGGGATATATTAAAGACGTATTCTTATAGTAAAAAAGATGTCAAAGGAATGTGAGAATTACCGACAAGTATTGGTTGTTGGAAGTAAGAGATATCTTACTCCATATTTTTTTTTATCTGCAATCTTATTGATGTTATGTATTGTAAGTTCAAAGTTCTTTTTTATTCAATAGGTTATGGGCCCACATACTTTTAATTATGAGATTTGAAGTTCTTTGAAGTTCTTTGAAGTCTTTCTTCTTGTGAGGAATAGATCTTATGGTTGTTGTTATTAAAATTTGGTATCAATTAATCCCACTTTTGCATCTAGTTGTTGATGAAGTTTTGCTCTTAGTTGTTGCTAAGTACACTCATATTTTTGGAGGTTGTTAAATACCTTAGAATAATATTATAAATACCAGTATTATGTTCCTTTGTTGAGTTATATCATTGATGCTCTAATATTATGCATTCATGTACTTAAGTTCTTAAAAAGCATCTTTTAGTGATAAGAGGTGTTTGTGAGATTAAAAGTGTTATTTGATATTAGAGGTGATTAAAGAATGGAAAAACTTGTATAAGAGGTTTAAATAGAGTATAAGACTTGTGAGAAGTCTTTTGAATGAAGTTGAAGGTGATTAAAGAATGAAAGCACTTATTTGCTCACAAAAAGAGTATTTTGGATTTCTAAAGCAACATCATCTTATTGATTTTAAGAGCTTTATCTTTTCTTTGATACACCTCTTCCTTAGATATGGTTTCAAGTGAAGGTGAGAGCTTGAGAGTGATTGAAAAATTTAGAGGTGATAATTTCTACCATTGAAAAAAAAAAAATAGAGCTTTTGCTAATTTTATTAGATCTTTGGAACATTATTAATGAAAGTGAAGAGCTTCCAAGTGACAATGCTAATGTCAAGGTGAAGAAAGAGTATAAACATTGTGAACAAAAGACTTCTAAGATGATTGCAATAAATCTTAATGATGCCAACTTTTCATATATTATTGCTTTCAATGGATCAACAGAAGCATGGAAGTTTTTTTTGCAATATCTATGAGAATAAAAACCTTCCTAATACTTTATGGACAAGGAGGAAGTTCTTAAAAATAAAGATGGAAGAAGAAGATGACCTCATGGATCACGTCAACAAAATAAAAGCACTTGCAAATCAACTAGTAATTTTTGATATGCCAATTGGTAATAGAAAAATTGTGTTGATATTACTAATGAGCCTTCCAAAGTCGTGTAACTACTTCATTGTGGCATTGGAATCTATCAACATGAAAGAGCTTATTATAAATTATGTCACATCAAGACTTGTGTATGAAGTGATCAAAAAGTAAAAAGAGCTTAACTATAATGATTTAATTTTATTTTTAAGACAAAGCAAAGATAGCTATTTTCACAAATATTATCATGTTGTAAATTAGCTACCATGTAAAAATAATGCACATATACATTTAATAAATAATTACTATACAATGTAGTGAGAGTTGTATTATTAAATTTTAATTGATTATAAAATGTGATTAGATTACTACTTTGAAGTAATTAGTTTAAAAAGGCTATTATTGAGATTGATTTTATATTGATAATAATTTTTATATATTTAGAGCTACCTTTATTAGACATTGGTGATTCTTAAAATCTTGTTTTGTTTCTTTTATTTGATATTTAGGATATATACTATGTAAAACTTATTAAAAAAAGTATCAGAGAAAGAAATTTGTGTAAAAAAGAATAGTTAGGCCAATCATATAGATGAATGGAAATGGATGATGAAAATCTCCATTCTTATTGGCCAAAATTCATACCCAATGGACTTCAAGGAGGCTATCTAAGGCCTTATTAGCGAATAGGGTTATTCTTTCAAGGAAATTCAAACTTGAAAAGCTAAGATTATGAATTTTAGATTTTTTTTATAGTTTTGGTAATTTTTTTGAATGATTTGGAATTTTTATTAAAGAGATATAGGCGCTCAAAGTTAAGGTGTTGATTTTGTACCTATTGTCATTCTTCTGGACATAATGTACGCATACAAAAAGCAATGAAGGATCAGCAATTAGAGTTGGAAAGAAAACTTTTTCAGCTATACTTTTTATATATTTTTTGATGAATTTTAAGCAAAGATGAAGGATATATAGGAAGTTAAAGTCAATACTTCTAATCTAAAGGCAATAAGTGACCTGATTTACTAGTCGTTGTGTTTTGAGCTGTAACTTGAGCAATTCAACAAGATTTTACCTAAATATTTCTTAAAATCTTTATTATCATATTACTAAATTTTATACATAAATTTTGTAGCATTTTAATTTTGTTTTTTTGAGATATGGAGAAAATAGTACTTGGATGCTTGTAAATTAAGGTTTAGAGTACATGTTAAGATTTCTAAGATGCCAAACGATCTATAGTAGATTTATGGTTCATTTTTTTTTAATAAAGCTTAAGAATAAAGTCTACATTATCCAAAATTTTTTAAAAAAATCGAATGATTGGATCAAGAGATATGAATTTCTAAAGTTTAGAAAAAAAAATCCTTTGGGGGAGAAAAATATTTTGAAAGGATTTTGTTATAATTTGGATATTTTATGAAAAGTAAAGAGATTTTTAAGAGCCAAGACTTTACATATATGTTAAATATAGAGATATGAAGCTATGACAAAATTATGATATACAAATGGATTTTTTAAGAAGATTATAGATTTTCTTTGAGTTTATAGAAAATCAAACTTACCAGCAAATAATTAGTTATGATTTGATACATCAAAGGATATTAGAACATTTGTAGATGCTTTAGAAAGCATTGTATACAAACCTTCTTAAATATAAAAGATTTTTATCATTAAAACACCTTTCTTTATTGCAGCATTTATTTATCTTCTATAATAGAAATAAATAACTTATTGGACCTTGGCCAATAAGTTAAAGCTAAACTTTTTACACCTAGATACCTAATATATTTCTAGATAGGAAATTATGCCATTTAATAATTTGATAATCAAAATAAAAATATGAAGAATTGATATATTTGTAAAAACTATGTTACTTTGTAAGGAATTGCTACAAGTCTAAGAAAAAAAATAGGGAGAATGAAAATAATACTTGTGATTATTTTGGTGGAGATAATTATGCTTTTATGGCAAGTGAAGGAGCCTCTATGGCTGCCATATCCAAGTAGATCATAAATTCGGCTGCTACTAAGCACATGACACCATACAAATATTCATTTGTCACTTATATAATAATTCTAGCAACAAATATTTGGTTGGAAGATAATGATATGATGCAAGCTATTGAAATTGACTCTATTATGGAGAAGATTAATGTGAAGGATCAAATTAAGAGGATCAAATTAAAGAAAATCCTACATATACAAAAAAAAAAAAAAAACCTCCTTTTCGTGAACAAACTTATATCACATGGTTGTAAGATTCAATTTGACATGAATGGATATTTTGTGAAGTCATTGAATGGATAATATATTGCTAAAAAGTCTTAGAAATGGAAACCTCTACTTTATTAATTTTAAGAAGGTAAATAAAATTAAAGTGGAAATATTTACAAAGTTCCTATAAGTTTAAGATAAGTTCAAAATTTGGCATCAATGACTTAGTCATTTGAATGCCAAAAGCATGAAAAAGCTCTAATTTATAATAAGCAGTTTAGATCTTAATCAATTCAATTACAATGCCATGACACTTGCTTGTGAAGGTTGTATCCAAGGCAAGCAATAAAGGGCTTTGTTTCTAAGTGGAGTTGAAACATGAGCTAGAAAATTATTAGAAATTATATATTTTGATATTTTTGAACCAATGAAGTTGCCATGAATTGAAAGAACAAGGTACTTTGTCACATTTGTTAATGATTTTTTAAGAAAGGTATGGATTTATATCCTTAAAGTCAAGAGTGAATATTTTTTTAAGATTTAAGGAATTTAAGGCACTTATAGAGAAGCAATAAGAGTATAAGATTAAAGTATTATGTATAGATAATAAAGGTGAATATATATATAAAAAAAATTTGATGAATTTTTAAAGAATCAAGACAGTACAAGATAAATCTCTACTTTTTACACTCCACAACAAAATGAAGTTGTTGAAAGAGCAATTATACCATTGTAGAAATGATAAGGAATATGCTTCATGTACAAAATCTTTGACGTGCATATTTGACAGAAGCCATGGTTATAACAGTGTATATAATGAATAAGTACCTTACAAGTGTACTCACATCAATGAATCTATAAGAAGCTTTGAGTAGAAAAAAAACCTTATGTTTTATACATGT